AAATCATGGAAAGGCATGGTTCCACTGATGCCAATATTAATTACCTTGGACTTGGAGTACGAAACCCTGTGCTTTAAAAGGAACATGGAGACTCCTGAGCAGGTGAAGAGCAGAACTACAAGGGTGATAAAGAGTGTGGAAATTAAGTCCTAGTGAGGAATAGTTAAACAAGCTAGGAAAACTTAATCTGCAAAAGAGAAGACTGAGGCAAGATTGATCTATATAAAAGGATGCCATGAAGAAAAAAACATATGGACCCACTTCCTGGTAAAGCTGAAGGTAGAACAGGAAGTAAAGGATGGTAAGAAGGAGAGTCCGAGAGTTACTCTGGGAAGGAATCTCCTGATGGCAAGAACTGGTAAGCAATAGAAAAGTTTGCCTAGATCAGGGGGTGAGCTCACCATTGTTGGAACCAACTGAAAGACCACCTTTGAGGATGGCCTACAAGATTCATCTACTGAGCAGGTGGTGGACTAGATTATCTTTAAACCCAATTCACACATTGGTTTTTTTTGTTCCATGATTTACAAGGCAATTATTCTCTTCTGGCTGATCATAAACATGACCGACATTTTTCAGTGTAAAAAAGGTAAAATGCTCAAGCAAGATCAAGGAAACAACTATAAATTTAATTTATGCTTTCGTGAAAATTTTTATGGTCCTTTACCTAAACTTTTTTTACCTGAACTTTTTCTGCTTCATGTGCTTCAAAGTAAATACCTAGAATTGGACAACAGCACAACAGCACTGTATTCAGCTATTCACTTTTTTTTATGTCTGACATTAATGATGTTGAGGGGAAGGAAAAGAACCAATGATTTTTAACTGAGCTCAGATGGTAGGTTTTTAAAAAGTCCTTTTATTTAGGAACATGATCAGTAATTCGAAATGCAATTTCCCAAATAATTGCTTATGGACTTAAATAATAAAATAATATGTATTCATTATCTATCCAATAAAGCACAATTGTATTACATTCTAAACTCCTGCATTCTGCTATGTTATAAATAAAACCCACTTCTTCATGGAAGTAATTTGCTATATTCTTTCTTCAACAATTTATATGGCTAATGTACTGGTGTGCACACATGTGTATGTATGTGCATACACACACATGCATGCACACACAAACATTTATCTTATTATATTTAAATAGGTTTGGATTTCATTTTAAAATCCTGCAGGATTTGTTTGATAGGAAATGCTAGCCAGATAAAATAAAATATGATGTCCTTGAGATGCATTGGACTATAGTACCTTTTATCTCTAGCCACCATAGATTTCTATGGAGTGATGGGAGTTGTAATCCATTGCATTTGGAAGACACCAGGTTAGAAGAACCAACATCTGTAGCTTCAAGATATACTTCTGGCACCCTGAAATATCACCTATCTCCACATTTAATGGTTCAAATTTAATTTGATTTCTGCTTTGAAGTTGGTTTGGAGGGAGGGATTTGTTTTGTTTTGGGTTTTGTACTTGACTTCTCCTTAAGGTTGGGGAATAAAACAGTTGTTTTATTGTTTCCTATATCAGTTTGGTTTACTTGTCCCGATGCAAGATTCTTATGGAGCATAGCAGAGGTTGAAGGATACCGGAAAGGGAGATTTTGCATTCAGGAGCTAAAGGGAGAAGAAAGGACTCCAAACAATTGAAGCTGTGAATGGTCTGAGATGGCTGCTAAACTCTGTCTGATGAGACAATACACAGCTTCCCTGGGGGGACAACCTGGCCCATCAAGTCCGCTCTATTTGCAGTTTCACAGGGGGGGCATCACTCAGTTTACATAGGTCCAGACAGACCTTCCTGCTGGTGATTGTGGGATGTCTGCAAGGATTTCCTGACCTAACCTTCAAAACAAATTGGTGATGAAAACAAACAGGTGATTGTGAAATCTGCTGCAGTCAAAAATGCAGGAATATCTTGACTGCTGGGACAGTCTCCCAGGCTCTCCTTATATGACTGGCAGTAGGTGCAGCTTTGTTAATTGTGGTACTTAATAACCCTTGTGATAATCCATTTCTGCAATAAAAGGGAATATTTCACTTGAACAATTTCTGTTTGATATGTAGGTCTCTGCATCATCCTCGTGTGTGTGTGTGTGTGTGTGTTTGTGTGTACAGATGTGTAGATGCTCCCACAGTGTGCTTTGATCTCAGAGAGAAACTGGGCACATGAAATGCCAAGAAACATTAATAACTTTTTAAACAGGAAAAAAGATGGGAAGGCATCTTTATAACAGGTGAGTAGAAAGGCATATTGTTAAATATGAGAAATTATTATTCAAAATATTTAAAAACAAGGATAATCTATTCACTGGTTTACCAATCTATAAAAATATACCTTTTTAATAAACATATACTATAAAAATGTTTCAAAATTATTACCAGAATCACACATATACACATACAATAGCAATGACATTTTCTTCCCTTTCCTTTCGGTCAAGCTCACTCAATCCTTCTGAAACCTTGGATGTCCACCCCCTCAAAATTGTAAAGGAAATGAAATGGAATTTTTATCCTGGCTATATCTATAATATATCAGAGTACAGATCCAGCATGCTCCTCAAAGGGCAAGGTCATTATAGAACAAACAAACAAACAAATAAAACACAGCTCTGTATTCTTTGGAAATGAGGATTTTTCAGAATTAATGCAGGAGTGAAAGGAGAAAAGTTATATATTTCTTTCAGGTTGCAAAAAGTCAGATTACTCTAGATGTAAGCATTCCTTCTCTGTGTGTGTGTGTGTGTTTGTATGTGTATGTGTGTATATGTATGAGTGTGTGAGTGCATGCACACACACATAAACAATAGGATATTTTGGTTTCCTGGAGATCAGTAAGAAAAGTAGTAAAGAGTTGTTTAGATAATCTCATTTATTTCTGCTGAAATTGAATGCTATCAATACAGGCTTCAATCCCATGCTTCCTTTTTTTTTAAATAATACTGAAATTATTACTGAGAATTATTGAGTGGAAGAAAAAAAATATCATTTTAGTGAACTGAATTTAGCTTGGCAATCAGTTTTGCAATGTTATAGACCAATCTAGAATGTACAGAATAGTTTTATGATATTACTGAGTAATTCAGGTCATTTCATTTAGACTTCTTTTGTGAGATTTTGAGTGCAAGGCTTCTCACCTAATTATATTCCAAACTTTTAAAAAAGAGTATTTTGAAATTCTTTACAGCTATGTAAATTGACTTTATCTGAAATAAGTTTTGTAATTTGGCACCAAGGCATGTCTAACCAAATCTTTGGCAATATACTGGTATAATGTACCCATAATCAGTTGTTTTGCATCTCTCCTTCCCCCAAACACCTGAATCCATTTTCTGTAATTGTGAATATTGAAAAAAAATTAAAATGTCATGGACATTGACAATGTTAATTTAAAAAGTAGTTATCACCACTTATTGCTTCAACTACTTCTAGATTGACTATTTTAAAAACTGTGCAAAAGTAAGATCCTCAAAAGGAGATGATTTTTTAAAAAACAACAACCATCTTCACATTAAAAGACTGAATTCTTTTTAAATAGGGCCAATCAAAGCATTATCAAATTAGTCTTTTTAGTATGTCTTTGATCTGACTTTCTTCAGAAGTGATGGAAAATATCGTGGAGTTCCTGATCAGTTTTAACCCCTCCCCCTCCTTTTAAATTGAAAGATAATTGGTAGCAATCTACTTGATTATTACTTGATTTTAGGGAAGGGAAAATACCTGAACAGGCTATTCTATGAGATGAAAGCTGGTCTGCAGCTTGTTGTACCTTGTACTGGATTTCATGCTGACAGGCAATGGGCACTAAATGTCAGAACAGGTTGACTAGTTGCCATATCCCCAATCTTGTGCCAGGTCATGCTATCACTAGTAAGCATGTGTATGCTTATATGTCACAAATATGCAACAATTTCAGGATAAGGACCCATTTGGCCTTATTCTGAAGGCTGTATTTTAACAATTAGGGAGGATAAAATGTCAGTGTAAGTGAAATTAAAATGTACTTATTAAAGTGATTGATATCCACATGTTTAGTCCTTTTTCCTCCCATCCCATTAAGAGTACTGTTCAGAAACAGTGTTTGGGTAGGCTCTGTGAAAGAGAACATACAGCTGAAGGCCTCCCATAGAATCTCCTTTATAATTGTATTGATATTAAAATCATTCCATTATCTATACAATGTGTACATCTTATCCCTTTCTTTCTATCCACTTGAGAGCTTTCATTTTAGAACAATATAAGTCTGAATGAGAAAGCAACTTGGAAAGTTTGTGGATTCTAACTTTTGGATAGGAGTGTAGTGTGAAGGCCTTTCTGGATTCTTGATGAGATGTTGCAACTCTTGTGGAAGAAAGGATTGTGTAGGGATTAGGCAGAGCAGGGACACGGAAAATTCAGATTCAAATCCTCATTCAGCAGCAAACCAAGGACTTTCCAATCTGTCATTGGCTGTCAACCTTGATGTTGATGTTGATATGGAGATTGAGGAGAAATCATCTAGGATGGTGGAAATCCCATGTTGGCTGGATAATTCTGGAAGTCCACAATCTTAGTTGCCAAAACTAAGAAATATCTTATTTCATTACTGCTCTTCTCTAGTGTATTAGAGAAAAGGTGGACTATAAATGTAATAAATAAACAAGTTCAGTTTGCATTGTACTATTTTTGAATGCAGAGGCAGTCCACAGCAGGACTGTGGAAAAAAGCAAAACGCACCATCCCTCGGTTAGTCGGAAGATGCAGATCAATTTTCTGCCGCTCACGATGGAAACGGGGACCAGCGGTTTGAGGGGACCCGATCACATCCATTCAAGTAATAGCGCCGCTCGCCCTTGGAGGGGAAGGCAGAGCCAGAAGGGCGGGACTTAAAAACTCTCCCCAGCCAATGGAAGAGGAGCCGTTTGTCTTTCTTTTAATAGGGGGCAGATCGAGAGCGCAGTTTTCCGAGGCAAAGAGGATGGATTGGCGGAGTAGCGAAGAAGTGATTAGTGCAGGAAAAGCTCCGCCGAGTCTTCGGAAAAGTCCTAAGGAAGAAATCCAGCGCGACTAACTGTGGTCTTGACTGCGCCGTTGCCACTATCAACCGGATCTTGACGTAGCAAAGTCGCGAAAGTTTCCTTGCGCTCTCCGTTAATGATAGCGGAGCAAGTCAGGATTTTAAGAAGAAGCAGCAGCCGTGCAATTGACTAACTGGCCTCGGTGCTTTTGCAATTGACCAGGAAAGTGTTGAAGGCGAGCGCTGATGCGCCTTTTTCAGTTTCGATGAAACTCTGAGCGCTCCAGCGCTTCCTCCGGCTTTCGACTTTCCGTCCTCTCCATCTCAAAACTTTTGTTTTGCTCTCCTCTCCCTCCCCGCTTTCCACCGCTCTACCTGCCGCCGCTCCGAACCGCGAATCTGTCCCGCGAGTCTTTTTCTTCAATGGGCGCCTTGGATTCACTCACCGGAGGACCTGCCAATCCGACCGCCGCTGCCCTCACCATGCTGAACGGGGCAGAGAGCCAAAACTTTGCCAAGGAGCCACCGGACCTCCAGGGAACCACGACCAAAGACACGGGGGGTGGGGGCGAGCTGAAAATGGGAGCCCCCCCGGACCGCTTCTACTACCCCGATCCCCCCTTGCAGGAAGGCGGCTGCAATTTAGGGCTGGCTTACGGAAGCCCAATGGTGCAAAGCGCCTTTGCGGGGACCGACCCGGCGTCTTCGAGCAGGTTTTTGGGGCCGGCAGCGAACAACTGCTCTTCCTACCGACCTCAGCCTCCCCCGCCTATCCCAGCGTCAACTGGAGCCGCTGGGAATCCTGGCTTCTCGGTCTCAGCTAGCGAGCTCTATCCCAGCGCCGGGGATCTGTATGCTAGCGCGGCCGCCGGAGAAGGCTGCTACTCAACAGCGGTCCAGCACGTGTTCTCGCGGGCTCCTCTCTATCCCGTGCCGGGCTATCAGGTCTCCGGAAAGACCCAGGTAGTCCTCAACAACTACCCGCTCTGGGCCAAGTTCCACAAGCATCAGACGGAAATGATCATTACCAAGCAGGGCAGGTAAGCCATGCGAGGAGACGCCACGCAGCCCGGCAATTGGCTGGGGCTTGGCCGCGGGGGACGGAGGGCAAACGGAGAGGGGGTGACTAGGGGCTTCGAGAAGGGGGCACGAAGGAGGAGGAGGGGGGGGGAGGCCCGTGTTTCTCTTTCCACGTTTGCTGAGAACTTTTATCCCAGACGGAAGAAGAGCCCGGATGGGGAAAGTCCAGTCTCTTACAGGCACCAGCTGTCTGTGCGTGCGTTTGGCTGCAAAAACAGGTGGTTGGCTTGGCAGTTTCTCTCTTAAAGCTCACCGGGCAGGGACCCTGAGGACGAGGATGACGGTCCTGCTAATCTGCCCATATTTTTGTAACCGAGGGAGGACCAACCAGACTATCCAGCTGGCTTATTTCAAAGAGGGAGAAAGGAAGAGAACATTAAGATAAACATTTAAATATTTCAAGGGTGAATTCCCTTCCCATTTGCAGGATCCCATCAGTTTAGCTTATCATTCTGGAAGAATCAGCGCTTCCTGTAGAAACTTTTCCTAAACCTTGGTTATATGGGAAAGTTGTTTTCCAGTAACCTGATGGCTTCTAGGTAGATGATCAGAAACTTTATTTATATTCTTCCACCATCACCCTCCCCATGAAACATCCAGGTTTAATTTGCAATATTATATTGGAAACATTGCTAACAAGTTTTAGAAAGGCAAATTTGATGTGTCTCATCCACATGAACAGCTGCGTAGCGGAATGGATGAAAGGTTAAATGATGTTACTAATCTGCTGGGACCCCAAATAATTTTGTATCCCCAAGTACTAACTTACACTGATTTGCTATTATTTCTGTTTATTTACAGAGTAACTAAGGCAAGAAACTATGTAACTTTTATTTATTTATTTTTATTTTAACAAGCAATATTGCAATGGAAATTGAAAAGGGGGACAAAAAAGACATTTTGGTTCTTAGAAGAATTTGATTTAGGTGGCTTAGATTTTTTTTTTATTTTAATAAGCAGTATGTCTTGAATTTTAATATTTTTCCCTCATCAGAACTTCTCAAAGTGAAAAATAGTATAAACACTATGCTATTAAAAAAAAAAAAAGCATGTAGACTGCGTGAACAAAATACCTGTGTCTCTGTGTGTGTTTGAACAGTTCTCTTTTGCTTTTTATGGGATATAATTTTTAAAATCAATTCAACTAGTACTTTAATCAATTGAAGGTTTAATTAAATGCTCTTGATAGTTTAATTCCTAGTTACAGATTTCTTTCTCTCTATTTCAGGGCATTTTTATGCTAGTTAAAAAAAGAAAGCTTTAGCTGATTAATCAGTGAGACCAATTTTAATGAGTGTCACTAAGAGTTAGAGGCACATCTGTTTATGTTTGTTTTCATGAGGCTATTTTAGTTCTGGTATGCTACTGTAAGAAGGAATTAAAATGAGATTAAAAATGAAATGTGGATTTATAGAGATATTATTAAAGATGCCCTTATCTTACAGATCCACTTATCTTAAATGGTGCTCTTATTTCTTAATTTCAGAATTACCTTATACTTCTTTCAATAACCAAAATGTGTGTTAAAAAAAAGAAATCATATTACTTTAGTAATCTATTGATTATAACTAGAAATTGTTTCATTATATCTAATTATTTGGAAAGGAACACAGCCTAATTAAATAAGGTAACTTTTGAACAGAAATATATAGGACCATTTTGTAAATGAACTAACAACAATCAGATAATAAAAACATGTTAACTGGATTGGTCACATAGTCCAGAAAAATGTTACTGATAACAGTATTGAAACTCTATTAAACCAGAGAATTTGGGTGTGTTGAATATTGGATTCTCCACATTAAATATAAAGAAAAAGAAGAAATATCAGGATGTCTTAGAAGTTTCAAACATGTAACAGTAAGAACACCATAGTTATGCAACCACTCATATCAGACATAGCATTGCAAATACAGAGAAAAATCAAAAGTATGAAAAATGCAAAGAACAAATTTCACAATACATTTCTTATAGTTGAGAAGCATGTTATTTTACATGTGGAATCTTAATTACATTTAGGCAGGCACTTCTCTATGGATCCCCTTTTTTGAAATATTACTTAATTGTCCACAGTTAGATGCCATTATTTATAAACTGCTTTAAACTATTTTGATGTTAGTAGCTTAGAGTTCCTCCAAAAAGCTCAGAGTAAGTGATGCAACTTAAACAGTGGCTACTTAAAAAAAAAAAAAAACAACTTCAAAATGATGGAGAAAGCCAGTCTATGAATTGACCAAAAGTTCTTAAATCATCAAATCCTAATTTACAAAGTTCTAGTTTGTTCATTTTCCCACTTGACATAAAAAAGTGTTAAAGTTGCTTTCTTGTGGTGTTTGTGGGCACATATTTGTCAAAACACCTTTATAAATCGTGGTTAAACATGCAATTAACCAGTGATCTCCCAGCACAGAGCTAGGAAAATATCTGTTTTTTTCTCATGTGAATATATCAGCTGGCTTTTCAGCTGGCTCAAAAAAGAGATCAAATTTGATTCTTAAGATATAGTTTGATTTTACAGAGAGCAAAGACAAAGGACAATATAGACAATAAAAAAGCCAAGTATTTATGATTTCTTTATTTGAACTTGATTATGAAGAGAGAAAGTTAGTTCAGCCTTCTGATCTGTTTTCTAACTCAGATCATAATCTTTGGAATGTCTGAAGTAAGTGCTACATGGATCATTTGTAGAATTTATTTCTTTTATCCTGAGGAACTACAGAACTAATGAAGGATGTACTGCCACAAATCTCTTTTTCTAGAAATGAAGCTGTGAACATATTAACACATGAGCCCCACCTATCTCACACCATTCCTCATATTTTCTCCAGGCAATTCACTGTCAGATTAGGAAATCTTTATAAAGGTCATCATTGCCATTTTCTTTTCTTTTATTTGCCCTCTTCTCTCTGCTCATTTCTGCTCAAATTCCTCTCAACTGAGCTGCAGATCCCAAGGATCTACCTGTAGCAGAGACAGAGGAAAGGGAAGGAGAAACATCTCAACACACAGCTTAGGCCTGCCAACCGGGTCTCTTCAGTTTCTTTCTCTTCTCTTCTGAGAAGTATGAAAATAAAGAGTACAGTTATGGATTTTCATGCTCATCACTACACTTTTCTTCTCCTACATACCAACTTATTCCAGAGTTTGTCTTAAGTTGTATAGTGATCAATCCTAAGGAGAGATTGAAAATTAGGAGAAAGAAATGACATGGAAAGATGCCAAGATTCATAGACCAATAAGGTCCCCATTACCAGGCAATTTATGCCACAAAATCACACAGGCTACAATAGAAGATGATGTTGTCTCCTCCGGCCTTGGGAAAGAGAACCAGGTCTTTTAAAAGTATTGCTTTTCTGTAATGGAAAGATCTTTAATTCTTAAGTGAAGATCTAACAAGTTTCAATTATATGTCTAATTGAAGACAAATTCTCACCTCAAATTTACACGGTAGGTAGGAAATGTGACTATTGAAGTTGAAGAGTTCACATGCAAAGATGATCTTTGATCCAGAACCTTTAACCACCTGCTCCCAAATTATATACAAAATGTCTTGGCATTATTATTTACAGAATGACAAAGTTGGAAGAGACCTTGGAGGTCTTCTGGTCCAAACCCTTGCTTAAACAGGGGACCCTCTACCATCCCAGACAAATGGTACCCAATATTTTCTTAAAACCTCCAGTGTTGAAGCACCACAGCTATTGGAAGCAAGCCATCCCACTGATTAATTTTTGTCACTGTCTCTGTCATGACTTTAACATGATAGCAGTGTTCCGTATTTGAGGGGCTGCCACAGAGAGGAGAGGGGTCATGCTATTTTCTAAAGCACCCGAAGGCCAGACAAAGAATAATGGATGGAAACTGGACATTCAACCTGGAAATAAGGAGAAACTTTCTGACAGTGAGAACAATCAACCAATGGAACAGAAGTTGCCTTCGGAAGTTGTGGAAGGTTCATCACTTGAGACTTTCAAGAAGAGATTGGACTGCCATTTGTCAGAAATGGTATAGGGTCTCCTGCTTGAGGGGGGGGTTGACTAGATGACCTATAAGGTCCCTTCCAACTCTGTTAATTTGTTATCTGTTATCCTCCAGACCAATGGCTGAGGCAGACTTAAATCATTCTAAGTAATCTCTCCCAGCCTATTGAAGGTTTGTCAGCGACTTCATTGTGAAGAAGTTAGGGGGTTGCACTGACTTGAAACAGAGACACAATAGAATTGGAAATGAAGACAGCAAATGCTATGTTCCTTGCCAGTTCAAATGTGGCTAAATTATAACTTAGGAACAGAGAAAAGTCTATACTAAAGTGGTTGCCTTGGGCAGTTATTTAGAGGGTACAGCAGCAAACTCTTTCTACCTATTTATATAATTTTAAATTTTAAAATATAAACTTCGTTGTATGCCACCCAGAGTCTTTTGATTGTGAAATGGGTAGTTTGTCAAATTTAGACAGTTATCTATCTAACCAGCAAAACTCTGGGCTGTGAACAACAATAGGATGTACTGCAAGGAGAGTATCTTCAAGATACATTTTTTTCTTAATTATATAAGGCTACCAGATCAGAGCAGCAAAACTCTGACAGACCATTAGAGGGCAGCAAAGAGATGTCGTTTTCTGTGCTTCTCTCTGGCCACTGGATGAGGCCTACTCATTTCATTAATGGAATATTATTTCTCCTTAAAACAGAATTCCAACCTGAAGATAATTTAGGTGAAATTCTCCCAATTGGTGTCTTGCATTTATTTATTTAGTTAGTTAGTTAAAAGTTGGCAATGGGTATGTCTGAATGGCTTTTCTTGCATTGTTGGGACAATCTCCCTATTTCCCATTGGACCAGGGGTGAAATCTAAAATTTGTTACTACCGGTTCTGTGGGCGTGGCTTGGTGGGGGAGTAATGTGACTGGGTGGACGTGGCCAACTTTTTTTTTATTATTTTTAAAAGCATTTTTTCTACA